CCAGGTTTTATCGGCCCGTCACGGGCGTCAAGAAACGTGCCCCAGAGTCTTCTGCCATGCTTCGACTTGCGGAAAGCCTTCTTCCGCTCGAAGCGCCGTTCTCCCTTCACATGCTTTTCTTTTTTTCTTTTGCAAAACCGCTCGTCTACACCGTTTTTCATGACTTGCACTTGCAAAATGTTCAAGTCAAGAAGCCAGGCACCCCTTCACATCAAGTTGATGCATGGGATAGACAGCCTCGCCGGCGAAGCGCCGAAGCCCAGGTCGGTATTGCTGCCCCTTCGGGCCAAGTGTCGCCTGTCGAGGGTGCTTCACCTGAACCCCGCGCCCGGGGGACCTGGGGAAGAGCATGGATAGTCAGGCACGCGAATAAGCTTCTACCCCGATCGCCTCTACAAGCCTTGAGCAGCCACCAGTGCCGGCATAGACGCCGGCCTTGATCAGATCGGATCTGTCTGCTCTGTCTGCCCACGGCATGGCTTTGTCCCCATAAGGGCGTGTCTCCGAGTTGCAAAGCCGATCAACGTTGCGAAGTGACGACCACTGCGTCCCGAATCGAATTGTCAGTAAACCGTGTTCGTGGACATGGGTTCAGCCGCTCGCTGTCTGATAGATCGTACCATACACCGCAACTGCGACGCAAGATCGATCAGCAGAACGCCCTGGATCCTGGAGTCCCCACGATCTGGCACCAGCCTAGCTCCGATCAGGACGCACCCCCGTTTTGCCGTCCGGGGTGTCGACCTTCTCTTCGCGCCTTTGTCACGCGACCATTGGCCCGTCACTTTCCTGAACAGACGCGATCCTACCTTGCCCATCATGAGATGCCAGGTCCCGCGGCTTTACTGACAGCCCCTGACATCAATCTACTGGCGCCAAGCTTGGGAATAGGGTCGCATCCTGGAGAAGGGCCTTTTCTGCCCCTCGGTCTAGATGACCAGTGTCAGCTTTTCTACGGGCCGATGGGTCTCGCGGCGTGATCTCGACTTTTCTACCCCCTTGGCATCCGGCGCATATTCTCTCAGAGGGTCGTGGGTGGCTTCTCTGCCTCGAGCTGGAGTCATGCCTTCACAGGATAGGAGCGCTCGGCATCATGAAATTGACTGAATGCAGACAAGGAGGGCCGTGGTCGAGAACTATAAGTATGGTCCGGAGTCGTGCTTCACTGCGACTTGATGTTGAGACCTCAGCAGACAGCCCAGTGAACCAGCCTTCTCCTCCTCGCATCCAGCACGCCTCCTCTTGCTGCAACTCTGTATACAGAAAGGCACCTTCGTCACCACCGCCATGTAAGTTTGTGCTTCCAGCCGCGCATGGCAGCCACAGCTAACCGGCCAGCATGGTTTTCGCCCACTTGCTCGCCGCCGCTCTGGCTCTCCCCGCCGTTCGCGCAGCCGTGCCCTCGATTCCCGGATTCTCCCTCACCTGGTCTGACGACTTTGTCGGCACGGCCAACAGCCTGCCCAACCCCTCCAACTGGATCATCGACACAGGCACCGGGTACCCGGGTGGTCCTCCTCAGTGGGGAACCTGGGAGATCCAGTCCTACACCAGCAGCCCCGCCAACCTCAAGCTCAACGGCAACGGCGCTCTGCAGATCACGGCTCTGAAGAACAGCGCTGGGCAGTGGACATCGGCACGCATCGAGTCACAGCGTTCTGACTTTGTTGCGCGCCCCGGTGGTCGTATGCGCATCCAGGCAAGCCTGAACCTACCCGTCGTCGGGTCGAACGGCATTGGCTATTGGCCTGCCTTCTGGACCCTCGGCCGTTCCTACCGTGGCAACTACCAGTACGTTGTTCATTCTGCCCTTTGCGCCCCAACCTTTCATCCTGTGCCATGAGCTGACAGCAAGACAGAAACTGGCCGTCCGTTAGCGAGTTTGACATTATGGAGAACGTGAACGGTATCAACCGCGTCTGGGGCGTGATGCACTGCGGCACCAACCCCGGCGGCCCCTGCCGTGAGACCGATGGCCTCGTCGGCAGCCGCCAGTGCCCCAACAGCCCCTGCCAGGGCAACTACCACACCTACACCCTCGAGGTTGACCGTACGCAGGCCCTCGAGGCTGTGCGCTGGTTCGTTGATGGCATTCTCTTCTGGCAGATCGTCTCGACGGACCTGCCGGCCGATGTGTGGGCGCAGAGCGTGCACAACCCGCACTTTATCCTGCTGAACCTGGCCATCGGCGGTGCCTTCCCTAACAACAACTACGGCAGCCAGACGCCGCTCGCGAGCACCATCTCTGGGGGTACGCTGCAGGCAGAGTACATTGCTGTCTACAACAGCTAGATCGTGGGATGCCTTCAGCAGGACAGGGAAGGGGAGCGCCAATGCTTGGGACAGTCACTACATGCGCGGGCTTTTCGTTGTACATCCTGGACCTTTTGACCGTACATTCTCCGTACATTTTCCTCCGTACATTTTCCTCCGTACATCTTATGATCATGAGCTATTGCGTATTCACAAATGTCCACCTGTTCGCGCCTTGGTTAAACGTCGTGATCATGACTTCGACCCGAGGTATGTGACATGTGGTACTGATAGGTTGGTGCCGTAACTGTACCCCTTTTCTCGAGGAAATGGTTCTAGGCTCCCTATTGGCGGACTGCCAGCCTACGACTTGCGCAAAACACGTGCCAAGAAGTCCATCAAACTATTGTAAAGTGGAAAAAGAAGTACTCTTGTTACTTCACTGGTTGTCTGGCTACAAGCCTAATATGGACTTGTAGTTGTACTTGTGTTCATCATCAACGCCATAACGTATCAAGACGTTCCTCTGAAAGACACAAATTATTCAATCTCTGACTACCTTACTAAAAGGATACGTACTCAGCTGCTCCAATTAACATACAGGACAACAACAGCTTTCGTCACTTTGTTCGTTTCGTGTAATAGAAGCTCAGCGTCGTCACCAAAAGGCGCACATGGCTCGACATATCATGGCATACCGATCGACCGCCTCAGCACACGACGCCCATGAGAAGAACGGAAGAAGGGAAAAAAGAGAGACTTGGCTGTGGGTGGAATCGAACCACCGACCTCCCGGGCGGAGAAGATAAACCATGTACGGTTCTAGGTCTGCGGGAGCGGAAAGGGTTCTAGGAGGAAGAAACCCGGGCGCTCTACCACTGAGCTACACAGCCTTGTTGGGAAGGCTTAGGACGTATTTTTCTTATCAAGCATACGGGCAGTTCAGGCATACAGACGGGCTTGCGCGAGTGGCGCCCAATGTGGACGGTGTTGAGGTTTGTCGGGGCTGAAGTATGCGGCACCGTGAGGGCATCGGCCGAGCGTCGTCCAGGGAACACTGCTCTGGTGCAAATCATGTGAATGACTTAATGATTGTAGCAGCCCAGGCCACCAGCAATGACCACCCCATACCTAGCTATTCTTAAACGTAGCTTATAGATGCTGTCCTGAGCCCGTGTCCGAACCGCCTACGCCAGTGCTTCAAACGCTCCATTATGTAAACCGTGCCTTGCGGAGCATGCCAATCAGTCGTCGTCAGTCATCTCCATCATGCTTTCGCCCTTTTCATCCTCGTCCATGAGAGGCCCCCTCGACCGGCCCGCCGCTTTCCCTTTGCCCTTGGCATCACCCTTCCTACGGGGTCGCGCCAGTTTCTCCTTGGCATGCGCCTTGCCCATGTCGAGGTCATATTCAAACGCATCGAGCTCATCATTGTCCGCAACATCGATAAACATGGACTCTTGAAGAGCCTTGTTGAGCAACTCTGTTGCGATGCCGTCTTGAGGGTGGATTGCCAACGCCTCATGGAGCGGGATGATGGCCCGCTCGGGCTGACCGTTTTCCAGGTAGATCAGTCCCTTGGCGCTCAGTATCGCCGAGTCTTTACCGCCGAGACGCAGGACCTCGTTGAACTCCTGGAGCGCATCACTCCACCTCCGGAGACGACGGTAGGCATGGGCCAGATTCGTGCGAGCAGAAAGCCAAGCGCTAGGGTCGGCATCAATCTCGCCGGCGATCTGTATCGCGCGAAGGAAGAAGCGAACGGCCTCCTCTGGCTTGTCCTGGTGGTACTTGACAACGCCCATCTCGTTCAGAAGGAGGGGATCTGTCTTGCAGAGCCCGTATGCAGTCTTGAGAAACTCCTCTGCCAGCGTCATGTTGTTGAGCGCATGGTGTTGCATGCCGAGGAACACTTGCGGAAGATGTGTACCCATGAACAACCTGGCGGCTGTCGAGTAGGCCGATATGGCTTGGTCGTGTTCGCCCTCAGCCGCAAAAGTGTGCGCGAAGCCGATCCACGCTGGACCAAAGTGCGCATCCATCATGCTCGCCTTGCTGAAGTATCTGCGAGCCTCGGCAATCTTGTCAATAGCAAAATAATACGTGCCCACAGCCAGCCAAGAGCACGGCTCCTCGGGATGGTGGTCGGCCAGGTCGTGCGCCACTAGGAAAAGGGCGTTCTTCATCTTGAGCTCGAACAAGCACGCAAGGTGCAGAGGATAAATGCTAAAGTTGTACTTGTCGTCTTGCAGCACAGAATCAGTGATACCAAGGGCCTCTCGGTACCGACATTGGGTGTAAAGAAGGTCTGCTTTGGCCAACAAAAGATCCGGGTTGTCAGCGAGGCGGTAGTGTGTCGATAATGAGTCGTATGCTGTCGTAAAACTGGAGGGGTCGCGATACTTCGAGAGCCTTGTTGTGTACAGCATCTTCGTAAAGTCGGCAGCCTCCTGCGAGGCAGAGACGTCCCCTGGCACACTGACGGCGTCGAAATCGAGAGTCTCCAGGAACTGCCACTCCTCGTCCGGTGACAGCAAAGAATTGCTCATGAGTTGCTGAAACGCTTCGAAGCACTGCACGTCGATCTTGACGGCATCCTTATAGCACTCTTTGGCGCGGTCGAAAGCATTCTGCTTGGCATAGCAGATGCCTCGCAGGTAGCACATGGCCGCCTCGTATTTTCGGTTCGCCGACTCCTCTTCGGCCGCCTCGTCGCGGGCCATACGACCGCCTTTAGCAAGAGCCGCATGCCTGCTCTGGAGGCCCGTGTGCTGCACCTTCCGCTTGTTGCTCGCATTCGCAATGAGATGCACGGGGTTTCGGTCTCCAAGAAGACCAAGCGCTTCGTCGTATCGGGACTGCTTGATAAGACAGTGCGCAGCGAGGTAGCGACAGGAGGTATTCCGAGTGATCAGGTCTTGTTTCGAGAGGAAGGTTTGGGCACGTGTGTAATTGCCCGTGGCAAAATGAACCTGTGCCAACCAGAATGCATCCTTATCGTCATCTTGCGGCGCCCGTGTTAGCTTCGTCTCTCGAACCAGTGTGCAATCGTATGCGCTGACTGACTGGTCAGGGCAAGCAGCTTGTCGCCCACGAAGATGGCGGAATCGTACTGTGCCTTATTGAGGGCATCCTGGCGCCATTCCCGCAGGAATTTCTCCATGCTCGAAGGGTCAATGGGCGAAACGCTTGCTCAGCGCATCAGGTTCGCTCCGGTTGCACCGCAAGGGGCGAGCACGAGACGCAAGGGGGCGAGCACGAGAGGCGCAGCTGGTGTTGATTGTGTTGGTGATTTGGATGCTGTTTACCGCCTTCTATGTCTGGTGGAGTCGCGACTGGGGCGCGTCGCCAGAGTGGGATGAGGTCAGAAAGACAGAAGCAAAGCAGCCAGGAGCCAGGGTGAAATGCCAGGCGTAGGCGGGGTTCAGTCAGTGAGGTCATTTCATTGGACGAACTCCAAAATGGGAAGGACGGGCAAGTACCTGAGCAACTGAGGAAGGAAGACTGCGAGCAGCCAGAGTGGGCGGGCACAGACAGTCGCGGGTTCCAAACCACGTGGGTCCAAAACCTCGCCAATGTCGGGGCTTCGTATGTAAAGGGGCATGAACGGGGGTAGCGGGTGTGAGGGCGAGAGTCCTCATTTGGTTTTCAAGGCCAGTCGGATGACAATAGGTTTCTCGCCTCGAGGACGAACCCACCACCTACTTACACAGAAATTTAGTATCCTGCATATCATCAAGTCGTAGCATTGGTGTCGAGCAAGGCAGCAGTACCATCTTCTCACTGATATTGCAGTCAAGAGATGACATGAAGCCTTTTACTATAACAAGATGAGCCAGAATGGTAGAGAAAACGATTGTGAAGTCATCGTCGGACTTTAGTGGTTGCCATTCTTTGTTCAGCTACCTTTCTAGGTACCTAGGAACCTAGCCATGCCCCTTCTAAGCGGACTGCAAACGCCCTGTAGTGATGCATGCCCCGTAGCTCGGGTGGAAACCTGCCCAGGCTAGTGTGACCAAAGGGAACATTCTACGCGCTGTACTATGACTTTATCCGAGCAACCCCGGTGCTCGTGCGTTTTTCGTCAAGCACTGGAGGAAGTTTCTTTGCTTTGACAACTGGAAGCGAACCCGAACCTCGAAGCAACTCGCTCGTACCTGCCACTGTCAGACCTTACACCTTTGTGCATACTCTCCTCCAACCAAAGAAATCCTCGCCATACCTAATCCCAAATCCAACCGCAACCTGCAATCACCCAGTCGCCCACCTCACCCTCACCTCGCCAAACCATACAACGTCGACGCCTGCGCTCAGCGATCCAGATCCATCTTTGTCCGATCCCACCCACACCGTGCAGCCCATTCGACCCAACTCCAGGCCTGCCACCACCACCATTGTCAGAAACCCGATCAACACACCTTGAATCGTCATCTCCCCTCCCCGACCTCCACGCGCACGCCTCCCCCCTCTCTTCCAACCAGCCACTTTGAGCATTGCCGATCGCGTCCGTCACGCAAAAGGAGCCGTCCTTCACAATCGAGAAGGAGCCGTCGTCGCAGCCAGGGAATTTTCTAACAAGAGAGAAAGTGCAAGACAGTCCTCATGGATAACAACCTATGGACTCGCCGCACTAAGTAAGTCACTTTGCTTCTGCCTTACCACCAACTACCGCAACCCATTTGCGTCGCTCTCCATTCTCCCAAACACCATGCCTAACCACATGCCACAGCTCAGGCAAGCTTTCCCTCTCGACCCCCAGCCATGGCACTTCGACGTCAACGGGCGGCGATTCCGCCCGCAATGGCTCCGGCTCCTTCTCCAAGAGATTCGGCGGCGCCACCTCCTCCCAAGGCAAAAACGATCCCTTCAGTGCGACGGCCGCTACGACGCCCGGCGGCTCCTCTCTAGCTTCCCCCACCACGGGAGCATCCAATGCCTTCGGTCTAGGCTCCGGGGCTTTTGCGTCCTTTGGTTCTGCGAAAACCCCCAAGACCCCTGGCAACCCTTTCGAGCTTGCCATGGGCAAGGCACCTGCGTCCAAGACCCCCGGTGCCGATGGCAAGGCCCCCTCGATGGCCTCTATCGCCGAGACCGGGGCGTCCGCCAACTTCCGGACCGGCCAGGGCTCTCAGACCAGTTCCGCCCGTGGGTCGTCTGAGGTCGCCCGCCCACAGGCCGGCCTCAAGGTGCACCCTCTGAAATATGAGTGGGTTACCTGGTGCCGGCCGTGTCAGCCCAAGGGCCAGCCGTACGAGGAGTACGCCAAGTCCCTGACTGCCATGGTCCACTGCAAGACCATCGAGGAGTTTGTCGTCGGCTTCCGCCACCTCAAGCACCCCTCGGAGTTGCCGGTGGGATGGGAGTACCACTTTTTCAAGAGAGGCATCAGGCCCATCTGGGAGGACGAGATCAACCCGCAGCGGCGGTAAATGGGTCCTGCGTCTGAAGAAGGGCATTGCCGACCGATACTGGGAGGACACGCCGCTTTGCGCTCCTTGGCGAGGCCTTTCCAGGGAGGTCGGCGAGGAGATCTGCGGTGGCGTTGTCAGCATCCGCAACGGTGAGGATGTTATCAGCATTTGGACTCGTTCGACTGGCGGCCGCGTGCTGAAGATTCGGTATGTTCATCTGTTGCTCGTGCCCGCTCCACCTCCCATGACGCTAACGCTTTCGGTCACAGTGAAACCTGGAAGAACTACCTCCAGTGCCCGCCCAACACAATCTTCGAGTTCAAGTCTCACGACGAGAGCATCCAGCACCGAGCCGCGATCGAGGAGTCCCGCCGCGAGAAGCACCAGGACAAGCGCAAGCAGGCCCCTGGCGATGAGCAGAAGCAATCTAGTTAGGCACTTCCGGAGCGCGCTCACCTCGCCAACAAGGCCGCTCTCTCCCACAACGCTTTCGAGTCGTTGTTCGACGGCGAATACCATCAATTTCTCGCATGCGACCACACAATTTCCGAATCTCTCACCACCCCTGTACAACACCTTTACCATTAGCTTTCGTCAACCGGGCTGCAGCTTTTACCACTAGGGACTTCTTATGGGCTTACGAATGAGGCGGAAGGGAGGGCCTAGCAACGACGGAAGGATTGACTTGACGTATTGTGTCTTGGGCATATTTAGGGGGGTTAGCTTTGGTTGATTTGTTGAGACTCGGTGTACCATACCTATGAGGACGCCCAGCCGACTCGAGCGCGAGGAGCGATGCCTTGTAAGCCCTTGAGGCTGAGGTTTGAAACTTGAGAAGGAACGACGTGCATTGATGTACCCATGAATTCAACTGTTTCCGCCGGACATTGTTTGCGCGGCAATCGAGTAATTTGGTGCTTGACACATTCTCGACAATGTCCAACCCCCGTGAATATGACATGGCAGATGCTCACGACATTTTCGGATGATGCCCATTTTCCAGGCTTGGCATTTCGTCTGATGGCCGTATGAAGCTCGTTGCCTGGATATTTCCCATTCAACGCCAAGTACCTACTATGAAGTCACAACCTACATCACGCACATGTTGGAGGACAACACACCATATTCCAGTCCATCAGTCACGCAACGAAACGCCGCTGATTGTCAGCTCTCCGATTTTACATCCACCTAATTAACATGGTATCAAGTCATCCGTGCGTCAACCATCCCATAAGACCACTGTGATGGCATGCGACCTTGTAGTACATACACCTCGGGGCTTAGGCCCTGGCCTTGCCCTTTGGCGTCCTCCTCCGCTCCCAGACCTGGAGGTACGTCTCGCCAAGGTAGAGCAGCTCGCTCTGCACCTTGTCGACAAACAGGTCCTGGCACACGACCCACTCGTCGCGGCCCTTGTCCTTGAGCTGGACCTTCCACGTCTTGCGCTCCTCGCCGACGGCGTCGGCGACGTCCTCCCGCCGCGCGCGCACGGCCTCGTGGACGACGTTGGCGACGAGGTCGTACCAGATGGGCTCGCCGGGCGGGTGCTCGGCCGGGTTGGGCTCGACGTACGGCGCCATGTCGAGGTTGCGCGCGTCAAAGGTGACAATGGTGGGGTTGCGCTCCGAGACAAACTTGTTCTGACTGAAGCGCTTGACGTGCATGACGAGATAGGGGGGCAGCGGGTGGAGGAGGCGGTAGCGCTTGCGCTGGGCGAGGTGCTCCTGGGCGTGGCGGCCGTCGTACTTGGCGAGGATCGTCGTCAGGGGCACCTGCGGGATGATGTTGCGGTTGTTCTCGTCCTGGAAGAGCGGCGCCGCGGGGAGGTCGAGCGTGAGGAGGAGGAAGCGGGAGACGGCAACGTGAACGTCGGCGGCGTCCTCGAAGCGGAGCCGGTCGCCGGCGTCGGCGCGCGCCGTGATGGCTTGTGACTCGACCTTGAGCTTGCCCTGGAAGATGCGGTGGATCATGGACGAGCCCGGCTTCGTCTTGGAGCCACCGAGGCCGAGGTGGAGGTTGTTGAGGAACCACGAGAGGAACTCGATAGGGTCGGACTGGTTGGTTAGCGTGAAGCGTTTGTTGGAGTCGAGGGCGATTTGTTGAAGGAGCTCGTGTGGGGATACGTGCGCTTTGAAGGCACGCGGGTTCCAGATCTTGCGCACGAGAATGCTCGTACGCTTGGCGAGCTCAGAGCGCGAGCTGAAGTCCTCGAGGAGAAAGTAGTTGCGTAATGGTACGACGTGCGACAGCGCCTGCAGGATGACGTTGAGGTAGTCGTTCTCCTTCAGGTTGTTCATACCCACAAAGCCTGGGGCGTACTCCTTGCCCGCCAGCGTCCACGCCGGCTGAGCTCTCCGATCGAGTTCCATGACTTCCTGCTTCGTATATCGCGGATCCGAGACATACTTGATGTCGTCGAGAGACTTGCTCTTGACTTCGTAGCCCTCAGGCAGGACGTAGACATTTTGCGTCTGCATGTTGATGTAGACATGGTGACCTTCGTCTAGGGCGTGGAAGTAGGCGTGGGATTTGGGACCCCGACCCTGGAAATATCGACCACACACGAGACAGGCGTAGACGTTGATGTTGGATAAGCTGATTGAGCATAACTTTTCAAAGTCAAAGTCCAGCACGTTGCGATCTATTGTGTCGAGGTAGAGGTCATCGTAGCCGCTCGTCGGCGCGGATTGTCGGATCGGGGCCGCAGGTGTCTCATCCTCAAAGTCATCGTCCTCGTCCTCTTCTTCTACGCTTTTCCCGCCGTTTGCCTCAGCCTTGTCGGTTGCATCGCCGTTCAATCCGTGTGGTGGTGGTGACCCCTCCGACATTGTCGCGTCGCCAGTCCTCGACCTCTTCGACCTTGGCGAGTCGACTCCTGCAACCTCATCGAGGGCATCGAGCGCCTGTCGCTTGCGGCGAGCCTGTTCCATACTGCGCGGTGATCTCGTCGTTACTGTGGAGAGGCAGGAGGATATACGCTGTGCTGTTTGCTGAAGTTTGTTGTGGCAGATGTCGCACGGTCGCAAGGCTCAACTGGTGAGTGGTGAGTGGTGACAGAAACTTTGGTTCTGGGGTTGATTACACTACGGAGACCCCACTTCTCCTTGTCAACACGCCCGTAGCTCGACGAAGACGAATGCGCTCTCGCTTCTTGCCGGCCGGCAGTCACAGCATGCCAAAGATTGAATTACACAGTCTGAGACCGGACACAGACAATGGCCATGTCACGCACAGGCTCAAATTCCAAAAGGCTTCTTGCGAGAGGCACGTTCTATTCATTCATTTGTACACCTCTACGCCATGACGACATCCTTCTCGTCACCCGCCTCGCGCAAAACCAGATCATCCAGAGCAGGGGCTAGGTTGTCCATCTCCTGCAGGGTATATTCCACCAAATAACTCTCGTCCACAAGCTCATCCATCCTCTTGTAATGCCTCTCAGTGTATACCTTGAGCGCATTCAGGACCTCCTTCAGACTCCTCTGGCCGCGCGCACCCTTGACAGACAGGTTCGAGAGCTTCGATGCCGGGTAGCTCTTCACCAGCGTCGACAAGATCCTTTGCGCGACGGGTGCCGTCCTGGCGTTGGTATTCCAGTCGCGCAGCCTCAACAGGAGCAGGAAGATCTGTTCGTCGGAAAGGGTCGCCAGCACCTGGTCTACAGCCTTGGAGCCGCACAGGCTGTCCGCGTCGGGCTTGTTTGATGTTACAACAGAGGTGAAGAGGCTGAGGAGTCGGCCGGGATGGTTGAGCTGAAGCGTCAGGATGATGGCCTCTCGGTAGGAGCCGGCATGGATGTGGTTCTCAAGCTCCTGCTCCTGCTCAATGAGTTGCAGCGCGGCCTTGGTGGCCTCCTCCTGCGTCTCAGAGCTCGTGTCTTTCCAGAAACAGACTGTAGAGTCACCACTGCCAGAGACGATGGCGTTGGTCTCTGGGTGCACCGCCAGAGCCCATACCCTGTCAATGTGATTGTCCAGTGTACATTCCGTCTCTCCCGACTGAGCATCCCACACCTTGACAAGGCCATCACCGGCTGCAGTCGCGAAGAGTATCTGCTTGCGCTTCTTTTCCTCGGGCCTGGGCACGTTGAGCCACGCCACCTTCAGAATACTGTTAGAGTGGCCTTCAAACGTCCTGACGCAGGTGTAGCTCGACAGACTCCACAGCTTGGCCGTCTTGTCACCGCTGCCCGTAAGAATGACACCCTTGCCGGCTACCGGGCCCTCGTCACCTTGAATGGTGGGGGTGTGTTCGGGCGCAAACTTGACAGACCAGACACCTCGGCGATGGCCCTTGAGAATGCCTTGGACTTCGCCCTCCTTCACCGACCAAATCTTGACAGTCTTGTCCTGTGATGCTGTAGCGAACAAATGACCATTGGGGTGCACATCAATGGCGTTGATGTCCTTCTCGTGCGCTTTCCTAGTGAATAAGGCCCGTGATCCACCCTTCTTGGTCTGAGGCTGACGAGGGATCTCCCATTTTTTGATCGTCATATCCTGGGAGCCGGTCAGGAGGAAGGGTGGCGGGTGGCTGAGCGGATCCTTGAACTGCGCAGATGACTCGGCGGGGATGGTCTTCGGCAGACCGACAGCACCAACGGACTGGGCGTGGCCAGTGAAGGTAGCGTAGCATGTGAAGGAACTGTTGGCTGGGTCGACACGCCAGAGCCGAGCAGAATTATCCTTTGCACCAGTCGCGATCCAGTGGCCAGACCAGTCGACATCCATTGTCAGGACAATATCGTCGTGACCCTTTAGCAGACCGACATCTTGTCCGAAGTATCGCGATCCCTGTGCTGTCCAGTCATGCGCGCCAGTGATCGACTCAGAACCAGCAACTGATACTAGGCGAACCTCCTCGGCGTTGGTGCCGAGTGCCATGATAGAATGATCTGGCAACAGGTAGGTGAGGTCAATGATCTCATCGTGCGTTCCTGAGATGCGTCTGAAAGGTTCCGGAGCAGCATCCGTTGTCGAAGCCTTCGTAGGCGTTTGGTAAAGTGCCAAGGTGTGGTCAACTTGCACGCAGAGAATGAATGGCAGCTCTGGTCGGTAGATTGCAGTCGTGATGCCCTCCGTCTCGGCCTTAGCAGGCTGGTCCTTGGTCACTTCGCGACCTGTGTCAGTGTCCCAGATCCTCAAACAGCCATTGGAGCCGGCCGAGTATGTGAGCTTGCCCTCGTCAACGAAACCAACTGCTTCGATGAGCTCCAGACAAGGAACGACCTTCCTAATCTTCCAGGATCTCGCATCCCACCAGATAATGGTCTTGTCCCTGGATCCTGTAACGATGGCATCCTGTTCTGGCGAGTAATCGAGACCCTGCACATCCGAGACATGGGAGTCTAGGCTTGCGATCGTCTTGCGCTTGTGGAGATCCCAGACCCGGACTTTTCCGTCTTGGCTACCCGAGATCAGGCGGAATTGCGTGGTGCCAACCTTCACTTCCTCCTCCTCTTCCTCATCGCCGTGGCGGGCCTTCTTGCTCTTCTTCCCGGTGTCACTCTCTTTGGCCCGTGCCGCTACTTCGAAGAACTTCAGAGCAGAGACGAGGACGCTTGGCCCACGGAATGTGTGAGTGACATATCCTCCAGCAATGTCCCAGACCTTGATGGCACCGTCAGTGCCACCAGTCGCAAGGAGGGTGCTTGTGCGGTCGACAGCCAGCACAACAACGGGGGTGCCATGAGGCTTCAGGGATCGGACGAGAGTCGGTGTGATGGAGTCATCGTCGGCAGACTTCAGGGCGTAAATCTTCATGGAGAGTGATCGAGAGCAGATGATGAGGTGCGACGCATTCGGGGTCACTGTTGGATCAATTAGCGGGCGTCGACCGCACCAGAAGACAAGTTACATGCAGGTCAATGTCGATATTTGCTCGCCATCCTATTATCGATTGTTAGAAAAGCTTTGCAGCAGCTGGCAGGGCGACGACATACTCCTTCAATCTGTGCAAGATGCCTGCCGTTGGAGGGGTCAGTTAGGACTGCATCCTCGCCCAGAGCTGTGGCTAGCACTCGGGCGCCATTGTCCAATGCAACTGAGCCGCCAGTGAAAATAGGCCGAATGACCTTGTCAGCATTAAACGTCGTCTTGTAAGGCTGTCGGTTTGCCATTGCGCCGGTATGCAAGATGTCGCGAAACAATACAGACCACTGACTGCTTTCCCGGCCTGTAGCGGGAGTGCTTTACCTGGAAATTTTTCTCGGGCGCTCTGCACGTTGCTTATCGATAACGCTTCTTATCTTATCTGCGCGACCCAAGATCCGCGCCAGGACGTCACAGAAGGCTTGTTTGTGATCACAGTTGCTTGCGTCTACACCATTAACCCATCGCCGATCAATTGTCCCTTCAACAGGAGTGGCATCTGAGCTCGCGATCGCATCTCTGTCACTGCAGTACTGACTGCGCTGTCAGGATGACACGGCTCGGGCCTTTGACAGCGCAAGCTTTGGTCAGCGCGCCCCCCTTCAATATCCGTCCTCAACTCTAATGCAGACTAGGGCCGATCGCCGTTCGATGACCTTGTCGAGGGCGAGGTAGACGCTGAAGATGAATCCGGAGAACATACTCAGCAGTATGACAGTCGCGGACGCCCACACAACAACAGCACAAGGCGAATGAACCGCGACATGATCAGAGCTCACAATGAGGTTATGCAGGTCATTGGAGTGGCTGAGCCAGACAACGTTCCCACTGAGGCGGACCTCGAATCCGTCCGTCGATATGTTGATTACGAAGAAACCATGGGTCATCGCCTTCTTAGGATCGGTCGGACACTGGAAGTAGGCGGTGTTTGGGGTGTCAACGGCCTTCGTGCGAGGATTCTGCTTTACAAGCGTTACGCCGACATCTCTTTCTTCGACCTCTTCCGTTATGAGAAAAGCCAACGTTCCATGTCAAACCTCTTTCTCGCCGGCCTGCCCACGTTTCTCGCTGGTCACGCCCTTAAGCTTGGGAGCCATCAATGGGCTCCAGCACGAGCTCGAAAACGCTGGCTCAACCCTCTGTTATCCTACATCCGAGTGCATTTGCAGCTCTATGTATTCATGCAACGAACAGACATCATTCCAGCTAGCAAGTGGTTCCCATCATGGACCTACTTTATTCCCGGGTTCCCTTCTTCACCTATCCCCGCTCCAGAGCCTCCAAAGGACCTCACGGCCGCGTCGCTAGTGCAGTATATGGGAGCCTGGTGTATCAACGCCCTACCATTTGCATCGTTCGTTCTCTGGGTCCGTCTCTGGACAAGAGTGACAACGTACATGTGGCAGGAATTTTACGCTCGGCTGCCCAACACTGTACATCACAGACGACACCTACCGCCTCCTCCACCACCGCAGGCGGCTCCGCCCTCGCCCCCTGTGGTTGACGCACAGCCGCCTCCGCCCCGGCAACCAGTTGACCTGCCGCCGCAGAATCGAGCCGAGCTACTACGCGATATCGTTGCCCAAGTGGCAAGCGAGAGCACCACGCCTCCTGACCCTCCTCCATCTCAGCCTCTGCGGAGACCAAGTGCGTTCTCTACCCGCGGAGACGATTTTGGGAGCGACGATGAGGAAGAAGGCGGCATCAGTGCCCCACTGATTAGTTTTGATGTGGAGGCAACAGACTCGACGGACGCACCACCTGGTCTCTGGTCTGCTGAGCTTCGCCCTAGCGCCGGACCTGAGGGCTCACCTTATGGCTTGGCCGCGCTGCATCCGACGTACGTGGACACTATGCTCACCCGGTTGCCGGCCTGTCTGGCTTCAGATATTTTCACCGTGATCTCCGCATACGTCATAGTCGCGCCTTATGAAGCCATGGCTTTACGTCTCGTCGCACGGGCTTATCGTGAACGAATGGGGCTGCCTGTTTTCGACATACACGAGTGGAACATCTTTAGTGGATTGACATGGCGGAGCGTGACCAACTTCGTTGGCCTTGAGTTTGTGCACTTGATCATTGCCGGTGAGCTGTGGGCCATGATCTCCAGTCTTTCTCAACTGTTCCACATGACGGAGGAAGAGTGGAAGGAGTTCGAGGAGATGCGCAGAGCCGAGGTGCAGAGGGAACGGGAGGCCATACAGCGCACAGAGCCTTGATTGCTAGGCTCGAGAAGTACCATTCATTCAGCATAGGCACGGCGTTATGGGCTTTCAGGCAGTGGCCTCATTTTTCAAGAGGGCCAGGCCGACAATCGGCTTATGTAGATCATGGATACCCAGCAAAATGAAACTTGAATTCGACATGACGTGACGCTTGTGCCCATACAAAGAAATACACCAGATTACCAGGCAGGTTTACTGTCTGCCCTTGCCTTTGCCCTTGCTGGCCTTCTTCGCCTTCAACTCGTCGACGTAGTCTCTGATGAGTTCGTGCAAGTCGGGGTTCTTGCGCGCAAGCAGCACGACGTCGTCTGCGGTGACGGTAGTCCGGCCAGCGTGCCTGCTGAAACCCTCAAGATCAGTGGCCGTGGCCTCTGCGCGACAGCGTTAGCAGGGTGTCCCAGGCATCATACCGAGTGGCGAGGGACTTGCCTATTTGTTCCCAGACCATTTCTGTGAGTGCGCCGATGAACTGTGGTGTGGCGTTGCGGTTCTTCTTCATGGATTCTTCGTCGACCATTTGGCCAACGGCGAACCAAAGGGCAGCCTTGAGGCGCTGGAAAGTGTTACTTTCAGGAATTAGAAAATCCACTCTTATAGCAATTACCTCGCGAGTATCATCCTGAGCTGGGTCGTTCATGGTGGCTGCGAATGCTGGGAGGGCCGTCAGGAGTCTTGTGGTCACAGACGGCAAGGTGGGGGGGATGTCACAGGGGTACTTTACGCGTTCTGAAAGCGCGTCGCGGGGTTTCAATGGGGTAACCCAAGGTTACGAGCACCTGAGCGAGCGACCACGACAGCTTCTACTGGCTCGACGACAAAACCCGTATGCACTCGACAAAACGTTCTTACTTAGGCATCGAAGTTTCTGACAAGAAACATCGACCTTTTGTGTTGTGTAAGTGAAGCAAGTAGATCGCGTAAGGAGATATTGAGCACGGAGCTGCATTACGGTCAGCTGGTCCTCAAATGACTTTGTCTGTAAGCCTGAATGGCAAGTGCCCGATCACTATTGGGGATCTCCCTTCTACTATTGCTACGGGGAACGTGAAGAGCGCTGTTTGCATACTGGATCGTAGGTCATCTCCTCCATTGTCATGTCTCTGGATTTTTGACACCAGAGCCAACAGCATGACTTGGAGTGGGAAACAGCTTGAAAGCTCCAATCTGGCCCAGAATCTGAGCAATAATACAATTCGATGTCTTTATCGGGATTTTCCTGATTATAGCTCAGTTTGAAGATTGCCGTTGAAATCTACTCAAGTGCAGCCTCTTTGACTGTCAAGTATACCTGTACACTGAATTGGCACCTAGCGGTGTCCCAGGCCAATGGCAGCACCAGTTCGAGCGGCCCGGGCAATTTCTCTTGGGTGCGATCCCCATCCAGGGCCAATTTACGTCACATCCACCCACTAACCCTTGCCAAGCCTAGCGCATCGAGGTGCTGGGCACAGCGCCCCGCGTGGTGCCGCAACTCCAACGCTCGGTGCAACCGAATGCAAATCCCAATGCCGACGGATCCAGACCAGAGACCTCCATCACGACTTTTTTTTCTTCCGCATCAACAGCATCAAATCCCGCACCTCATCCGACGCTGCCGTGTTCCAAACAACGATACTCTCCGTCAGGACAAACGGAGTAGCCGTCGCACCCAAAAAATCGAGTCCCTTGCGCAACGAGCCCCCTGACAATCCACTCCATCACCAATCCTCGCGCCCACGCGCCCTACTACCTTGTGCAAAATGGATATCCTCAACCGCTCGGCCGCCAACCTGCGCTCGACCTTCACGGAGCTCACGTACGAAAAGTTCATCCGCATCGTCATCGTCGTCGGCGCGTACGCCCTCCTCCGCCCCTACCTCCTCAAGATCACAGGCCGCTCGCAAATGGCCCAGCACACCGAGGCCAACGAGGAGGCTGCCAAGGCCGAGATATCGCCCAACTCCCTGCGTGGACAGGTCGACATACCTGAAGACTCGGACGACGAGGGCGTCGAGGGTGCCGCGACGGGCGCAGACTGGGGCAAGAAGGCAAGGAGGAGACAGCGTGAAGTCCTGAAGATGATGATGGATGCCGAGGAGGAGCGGTTGGCGCAGGAACAGGAGGACGAGGAGGACAAGGATATCGAAGAGTTCTTGATCAAGGAGTAAAATTACAAGGGTTTCGTGCTTTGTACGGGGCGTTAGGCGGCATATTACCATCGGGACAACCCTTATTGCTGTGTTTCTGATGTCAAAGTGGGCATGTGGGAGTGTACAGTGTCAGACTCGGAGAGCAATCGTCAGCTACGCAAGAGAACAGCAGATGACATGGGCTTTCGTGCCCGAGCTAACTCGTCAATCCTCACAGCCTGGATTTGGAGAGATACCGCCGTTAGAAGGGACAATTGGCGTGGCAAAACAACAACTCCGTAGCATGAAGCCTCGCGGATGGGCGCGCACTGCCTGCCTCAGACTGTTTCCGCCTGGGAAGCACAAGGGGACTTGAACTGCTTGGCTATCGCTCAGATTAATAAGGGGTATGTTCGTACTGAGACTGTTGAGCCGTTTTCTTAGGCTGTCCTCAATACAAACCAAACCAAACCCTTCAGCCCCTGAGGCCTCCGTCTCGGTCAGAGCCTTACCAGAAGCCTGCAACAAACTCCACAAAACATGTCACTCTTGCCTGAAAGTTCATCAGATGATCATCTGGGGAAGAACGGCAATGTCCGATGGCAACATGGCTTACCAGAAACTCGAGGCCTTAGTCGGGCGACTATATGTTTGCTCCGATGCACTGGTCAGACGTGCCACTCAACGTCGTCGCATGTCGTCGGGCTTTGCATCATGTACGGCCGTTTCATGGCATGCGGATTAGGCAGCATCCGGCTGAGTGCGCCGCATGATTTGGTCACGACTGCTTTTCTCCAGGTGGATGGACAAGGGCCAGCCTGTATACATTCCTCTATCTCAGGCCATGTTGGCACTGATGATAAAAAATGCGTGACTACAGTACCTTTGCGTTAGATCAGATCATAATCAATGAACATCTGGCGAGTATGAAGCCTCGCCCAGCTACTGGGATTCTATACCAGTACTCAGAACAAGCCTAGATCCAGGCCCGTTTGAAGCTTGATACCGTCATGTGGAGGGCAGCTATGATAAGGCTGTCAAGCTTCACATGATTCTTGCATGCGACCCGGGCCGCTTTGACGACGATCGATAGTATCTCGAGGGCGTATCAAAGTCATGATCGCGTCATTAAAAGCACCTGATGGAACAACTTATAACGAACAGGTACAAGATTTGTATATTCGTTCCCGGGAATCGGGCCCTGATGTATTTATGCCCAAAAGCTGTAGCCTTTTCAGGAAAGTTCATCAAGAAGCTGGTTATGTAGTCAAATGTGCAAGTTTGTCGACCGGGGATCCTGGCCACTTGGATGACTGAAAACGCCTTTGATCTCGAGGCAGCGCACACTATACACATGACGATAACCATAACGTATGACCATTTTGCAGTTTTCAGAGGCGAACCCCGGCAACTATACCACGTCAAACTGCAAGGCCAAAGGCAAATGCATGCAGAGAACGTACGGAGCAATTAGTCGGCAGATTAGAGTAAGCCGACACAAGGCTACAGTCAATGTAACAAAATGTATAGAGCCACCAGGCGGAAGAAGAGCAGAATGTGCCGTAAAGATGCCATTGAATGTCGAGGGCGGAAATGTCGACTACAGCGAAGACCGGACTGAGACTTGAGTCGGCTCGGACTGACATATCAGGTTCGTCCACTTGGCATTCAAGTGCAACACATAAATGACAAACTATGCCGATCTCGCACGGCAAGTAGTTGAAGAAGCTCCTGATGAACCCACATGGTTTGGTCGTGCGACTTTGGGTAGCGATGCCTCACTCGATCGGCCAAAGCTACGCATGCTGCAATGTGTCACAGCGTGACACCCACAAACATTATCTCTACGTCTTGTACAACTGCCAAGCTCTGAATGGTTGTTTCCTCCTCCCCCAGTCGTCGAGTGCAGTAACTAATGCAAAGCATCTGCGGGATTCAGGGAAAGATGGGTTCATGGGAAGGGCCTAGAAGCCAGTGTGGAGAGGGAGTAAGGAGACTTGAGGGCGGGCCGGCTTGCGTGGCCCCGCGTCAAGAGAAACGGCCCGCTCCTTGGATCTTATGGGTCTAGGATGCCCCGATGGTGAGTGCGGCGGTTCCGAGTACGCGGCCCGGCGCCCACCGATCGGAAAGGGGAAACGTGTTCGGATGATGGTCTGAGTGCAGAGATATCGTAGGATGGATGACTGATGATGGAATGCTGCAGGCTGCCGTTGAACAGGTCCCATCTGAACTGCTGTCGCCATGGCAGACGACGCCCGAAAATGCTGGAGCAGCGAAAATCGGCAGTCTACCTCCCTGACCTTTCGTCACACGAGGTATCGAAAGGCAACGTACCGCAGGTCGCCCAGCCAAGCAGCATTTGACGAAGCTTGCGCGGTACGTCTTGGCCAGTGACCACGAGGACATGGAAAAGACGGGGAAAGCGATGCACGAACTCGACACAACGCATTGAGGAATGTATGGGGAAATGGATCTTCTCAGCCTCATGAGGCGAAGGATAGAGGCAAGCCGAGGAGGCCAAGCGGCCAAGCGGCACCGCCCCCAGACGACGCGCATTTCTGTGCCAGGAGGCCTAGCCCCCAAGAGACAAGAGCGCAGTAGGCAGATGTTGATGGAGTGAGCGGGCGTCTTTAAAGGCCGATATGCCGCTTTTGCGACCCGCTAGGCTTAGTGGCATCGAGGCAACAAACTGGCGCGCCAGCATCATGGAACGATGTATGCCAAAGTTGCCTGACCTGGAGTCAATGTGTAGAGAGGTTCAAATGGGCGGCCATCGAGCCCAAGGTCATTGGACGTTGGTTTGAGGACGGGCCAGACCGCTACTCAGTCTTATCATATCAGCAGATCATATGCAGGTTGGCAAGAAAAAATCGGGCGGGTGGACGATCGTGTTCATGGTGGCATCGGCGGTGGTGATGCAGATAGGTGGGTGTGTGGCG